CCTGAAATATGATTTAGCTCGTAAAATGTTAAATTTTCACGGCGACAGTTTTAAAGAAAACTAATACTAATACGAAGCTCTCAATTTAATTGACACTTATTTCACAACAGAATTTACAACGAAAATTGTAAAAGCAATTCGCTGGGTAAATGCGTTTCGTTAAAAGGAATTAATTAAATGGTATGCACAAAAGAGATTCTAATGGAATTAGTTTTCGTTGCTAGATACATGATTGTTTTAGAGGAAATATAGTTGTAATTTTTTTACGACAATATAACCGTTCTATGTAATATTGGTTGATTTAGGAAAAAAGCATTTCCCTATTGTACATATTTATTTCTTTTATTTATTTATTTAATTACAAACTCAACAGAATTACACTCATTTACAGAGTAAAGTGTGAACAACCTAAGAAATACAAGTTTGCAATGTAATAATTAATTTACACATAACCATAAGTTCGAAGTGTTTTCGGAGCGCGACTATTGAAGTGAAATCTTGGCGAAACGTCTGCAGGATTCCAGTCGGAGTTCAATAAACGAACGGATGATACCTCGGAATATATTGTCATCACATTTTTCCATCCGTGAATATATATATCGTCACCCTTGCAATATTTTACGACATGCCCAAACAAATACTACTTATAACAGATTACTACATTTGTGTATTAGAACCACACAGAGGCCAAATACTCCAATCCGCGACTTAAACAGTGATGGTGGTGTTTGAAAAATCCAATTTTCTTTGGTCTTTCATCAATTTTTCTAGTGACATATTAGAACTGACCTCACATTTTCTCCAAAAATACGTAATAAATTCTTCTACAAATGATTCAGCTGTATGTCCTTTAAAAATACCTGCAATCTTTATCATTGGCTCCGAGGTTTTAATATCATTATTAACTTCCATGGTTTTATTACAAGTCTTAAGTCTTTTGTTTAATTGTTCTTGTTGAGTGGTATCGTGACATTATACTAAAACACTTTCACTAGGTAACAAACTAAAATTATACTCATATCGGAGGATTTAAGATTTTCCTTTCATTCTTGCGGCATTGTTCTTTATTTTTCTTTTGTTCTTTATTTTTCGCAAGAAAAGTTTTTCTTTGTTTTTCTCATGTAATTGGTTTGTTCTGAACTAAATTACAATTAATTACATATTCCCATTTTCCTCCTAAAAAAACATCGGACATCAATTTTCTTATTCTTATTGCCAAAATTATTATAATTATAGCAATTTGTCAATTTAAGATGGCATCACTTGTGGAAAATATTAACCACCACAAAACCTTATTTCACCTATCAACGAGTTGTATCAGCACACTACAGCATCAGTCAGAATACTGGATTCAGCTTCAAAGTAATTTTGCCTTGGACAAGGAGTCAGACAGAGGTGTATATTGTCTTCTTAACTATTTAACATATTCGGTGAATACATAATGAGAATGCCGTACGAAACGGAGGAAGGAAGCATTTCAATAAATGGCCGAAAAATAAATAATCAACGCTTTGCACTTCTCGCTAGCAGTCAAAGAGTTAATCCATTTAGAAAATAGGGTAGAAAACGAAAGCAATCGGCTCAGTCTGGGACTAAATACACAAAAAACCAAAATGATGTTAGTTGATAGGCAACATAACCATCCAAATATAAGTCATATTAACCGCTTTGAAGTCGTTAAGTCATACATATACCTGGGATCACTGTTGACAACCGTAGGCCCATCGGAAAAAGTGAAGCATGGGTGCAACATGACTGTTGGGAGACTGACCAAGATCTGGAAAGACCGCCAGATTTCAAGAGCCATCAAAAACCGGCTAGTCGACTGTCTGATACTCCCAATGACATATGACTGCGAATCGTGGACTCTCAGACAGGCGGAACGTAAAAAGATCGATGCTACCGAGAAGTATTATTATAGATGTATGCTACGACTAAAATAACTAAAATATTTTGGACATATAATGAGGAAAAGTCCGGACAATATGGACAGACTCATAATTCAAGGCAAGGTGAAGGGACGTAGACCACGTGGCTGTTCTCCGACTCGATGGATTGACCAGATCACGATTAACTGTAGCACGCCAATGCTCAAAAGACTGAAGGACTGAAGAGAGGTCAATTTCTGTAATAATAAAATCACGCTCTGTATCTCGTGACCCTTTCATTTAAATTCCCCTTTTTTAATAATGTTCGTTCGTATCTTTTCTAGTTTGTTCATGTATTACATACCAACAATGTTGAAAGGCTAATGTCACTTGCATACAGTTTGCATCATTAAAAAACAACACCCCTCGCAAAGCTCACAAATCTGTGCCATTGCAAAAATTTAAAATTATTAATATTTCAGTATAGTCAGAAGCTGTAATAATGTATGCTCGTTTGATTTATTGCATTACCCAACAAATTTTTCCAATCGCGGGCCTTGTATTCCTAACCAATTTGTCGGGCGATATCAAATAATTTAATACGAAGTCAAACAAAAGCTAATAAACTACAACAAGCAACCTACTGCGCCGTAGAAAAAAAATCCATACGAGAAGAGGAAAAATCAAAATTAAAATGTAAACATGGGGAACGGAGAGCGAAAACAAACACGCCGCCTTATTGGAGAGAGAGTTTCTTCGAAATCAAGAAATACGAATTTGGAGATGTTCGGAGCAAACTTTACCTCCGTACGTACCATCGGGAGTAACGTTGAAAAGCTGCCTGTAAATAACGATAAATGCTCGCGTGAGCACTAAGTTTAGAGTATTGCAGCTGACTACAAAACTCAATAACAACAAATTAAAATTTACTTTAGTCGATACATTTCCTGTTCTGGCACGCTGAAAGTTTTGGTTTCGAATAATAATATTCAGAAATAGAAAATGCTCACGACAAATTTATACGACCTGAAAGATTTACTAAAATTTGTGAAACCAAACTTCTTGATTTCCCGCTTCCCCCCATTGATGTACAAGTCCTAATTATAACTCCTTGATGACCGATAGTAATAAGGTCGTTTTTTCACGCAAAGACCATGTATATAAAATTTGCAGAGCCAGAAAGCGGCAGGCATCCAACTAACTTGCTCTAATACAACCCCAAACAAATATACAGCACACGAACTAATATAATGCAACTAAACCCAGTCCAGGTAATAATGCACAAATATAAAGTGTTATTCAGGCAAACAGCTCATTAAAATTTGACCGTGATGAGGTTGTAACCACAGACTGTATTAAAAAAAAAACTTACACAGAAAGTTTTTCTGTAAGTTTCAACAATATAATTTTGTTAAAAAAAATAAAATAAACCCAAAGAAAGGTATGTTATCTCTTTTTTGCTAATAACAATAGTGAACCACTTTTATAATGACATATTCATACGCGACCCTTCAATTCTGTACTTCTTTATTCCTCTATCGTATAAGTGGCCGCTTATAAATGTATATTTTTAGAATTACTTACTTATTTTTATTAAAAGAAAATGCTACAAATCCTGACTAGTCAGGAGATTGTTTTGTTTGCTTTGTACCTCGCAAATTCACATTCAATTCAGTCAGCCGCGGCATCCTTCAAACAAAAGTGCCGAGCGTTAGATATATCGACAATGAGACAAATAGCTAAAAATAACAGACTTTAAAGGGCAGCATACCACGAAAGGCCTATAAAAGCGACTTTAGATTTAGTATCATTTGTCAGTCGAGGAAGTTTTGTTCGAGGTTTTTGTCCGAATATAACCATTAAAAAATATTTTTGTACTTCCTCGTCTAAAATACCCAATTATGCAATTATTATCACGAGCCACGTCGAGCGTCTCCGGTACTTTTGACACGGGTTGGAAGGGATCGGATGGTTTCTGTAGATTTAAAACACGGATGGTACTATGTGATTTCTATGAGTTCTCACGGTTACTTTCCCTGTTCAGGAATTATTAATGAAAATTATAGTATATTATACAACAAGTGTGGTAAACGGCAAACGATTAACTTAAAAAGTTTACCAAACTTGTTACATACTATACTTTTTCTATGACCGTCGGTGCGGAAGTATCTCCGAAAACATCCGATTGGCACCAAACCCATGCGGTAATATCCCGGAAATGTCCGAAGTGGCTCGAATTCGTGGTACACGAAACTGACGTAGTAAAATGACACTTTGCGCAAGCTAGATCGGTGTATAATTCGGTATTTTGCAACATACAAGATAACAAATAACAGTTTGTTCTACATAATATACGGATATTTTTGACATATTCATTCTAAATCTAAATATTCAAATAACACATCACATTCACATAGACATAAATTTCTGTTTATGCAAAATTCTGAAATCAGTGGAAGAAATATGGATTTCTAATACGGTGTTAGTATGTTGCAAATGGTAACACCTACTACAACAAAAATGAACAGATAACGTCCTATACCTTACTAGAACGTAATCATTTTTTAAAAAAGTAAACTCTTTTTAATATAAAAAGAGCAACAACAATTTTGAAATTGTTTTGACGTATGTAATCAAACGCTTATGGAGCAAACTGTACTTACAATAGTTATTGCTATCCACATAATGAGGTTTCCATAGATTCAGAAAAATAGTAAAAGAATATTGGCCCGCCACCTATTGTCGAGGTAACAAAGCTATGTCGATAGCTGTCGATCTATGTATCCCGACTACAGTTTACTTTAACTATGTATTCCTAAAATCTGACACAGCTGACGTGTGGGGAAGCGCCGTTTTTAATATATATGTAAAATTTGGACTTTTTTCCTATTTCTTATGGTTGGAATGTTACGGAAGAAAATATTTATTTTAAATGATTCAAGTGGTGTTAACATTGTGACCATAGCCTTGCATAAAAAATGCCCGAATTCACTATTAACTTTTAATGCGCTAACAAGATTGGTAAAATACAAAAAAAGTGCAGCGAAATTTAAAAAAAGATTTGGAAAAAATTTGCAACATTTTTTAACGTCTATAATATATAAATATATTACTTAATTTGATGGTCGGAAATTCATTTGATCTCAACCAGAAGCATATATCAATAGATGTGTCATAATGCAATTCCATTTAATGAATGCATACTAAACTTGAAATATTTAGGGGAAAAGAAACGAAAAAGTATAGAAGCAAAACAAATTTTGTTGAACATTATTATATAATATTTTTTAAACTTTTTACAAGTATTACTTACTTACTTATCTTCTGGTTTACACATATAAGAGCAACATACATCTGGTAAGAGAAATATTTTAAATATAATAATAACTGGTCGAGACTACCTAGCACATTGATCTTATTTATCCACTTCATTGTTTATAATTATGGCTTGAGGTCATGCCGAAATGCATGTTTTCTGTTGCATGTCTTTAATTTTCGCGAATGTGAGTCGATGTAGAATCGGTAAAGTTTTGGCAATGGCAAAGTCGTAATGACTCCATTGTGGATCTTCCAAAATTTGGTAACCGCACCGCGACTTTGAATTTAGCATGTTGTACAACTTCATGGAAGACTGAAAAAAAAAACAACAATAAAAAAACACAAATATGCTGCTACTGTTGTGAAAGACTGATCAATGATTCTCTAATTTCTACTCAACTGTTCATTTACCGTTAATGTGGAGAGATAATCGTTCTTTCCAACAAACATCGCTACAGGAACGGAAATGTCATGAGTGGGATAGGCGGGAGGATATTCTTGAGAATAATGTTCGATGTTCCCTTGCTTGCCGTAATCGAACAGACTAAAATTTTTGCCGATCATCATTTGAGAATAATGAGTGTAGACTTCGATTCCAACACTGTCTAACCATCTGATTATTACAACAGGAAAATAACTCTACAAAAATATAATTTACTAGAAGAATACATAAAATGAAACATATTTTGCAGACACACAGAAGTTAGAATACGTCTTACCGGGTCAATTGTGTTGATATGAATTCCTTGGGATAGTCCTAGAAGGAAAGCCATCACGTAGTTTCCCAAAGGCGATGCGGCGACTATCTTAGTAAAAAATTGATAAATCGGAGTTACTTTCAGAAATTCACCATTGAAGAATGTATACGTTAATGCCTTAAACAGAAAACCATTATGTACAAAAGCACCAACCACCATAACCCAACTAATATAAAATTTGTTGCTAAATAAACACAAAGTTGCAGCCGAGTTTTTAGGTAGTCTTTCAGAAGAGAAAAGTTTTAATAATCTAATATCCGCGAATATTTGATTGGTTTTTGGTGGGGAACCAAAGTGCTGATATGATATTTCCAACTATGCCAAATATTAATGCTCTTGGAAGGAGAAGCTTTGTATTAAAAAACAATACTATCTGAAATGATGCAAGAACATAGCCATAAAATAGGAAAATGTATTGTATGTCGTCCTAAACTTTTTCTTACTTGCTCCTAATTCATTTTCGTTTCAGGAAAAGGAAATTTAAGGAACCCGATAAGCGGGAACCAGAGCGAGATCACATTCGCCTCTTCTCAGGAAGATGGCTGGAATGTTTAACCCATAGAGCCAGTAGGCGCTGCGTTCTAGAAAAGTGGAACGCCCCACGCTGACAATTCAGTAGAAAAAAACCGTGCACCGCGGAAATAGAAATAGTCAATATAACTAGAGATGCTACATAAATTATTAGTAGTGTGTAAATAGTCAGTGACTTGAAGTTTTGTGCGGAGTAGACTAGAACTAGAACGATTTTCATCGATTTAAAAAACGAACAATATCACGAAACATGTATCGTACCTTCACTGTGGGCCAAATAAAAGGCTGCCACAAAATTGGCAAGACTCCCTTAGCGTCCTGTAAATAACCTACAGGTGCGTAAGAAATAACTCCCAAAAGTCTTTCCTCACAATGGCTCCGAAGCAAAGAGCAATACACATAGCTATTGGTTGTCCCCATTGAATATCCTATGTAAATGGCTTTTTGATTTGTGGTGTTGTAGACCAAGTCAAGGGTTGATTTTAAGTCGTAAATTCCCATTTGGTGGAAGCTAAACATGAAATGAAACATTCAAAAAAAATTATACGTATTAATTTTAGTTAATTAAGTAGGTACGTCACATTTTTAAAGTGCCCATTGCGATTGCGTAGTGTAGTGTATGTGTTAAATGATTTTATTTGCAAATTACCGAACTTTAACATTCTCAAAGGTGGTAATGATGAATAAAATTTTGAGAACCCCAAGCCATCTTTTAAATGTAGTAAGTACCAGAACACTATTTCTATATTTCTAGCTAAAGTTTATTTTTCGAATACTGAGTATTGTTAATTTTGTACTTACGACATTTGAATCATTTTTGTACACAAACTAATAAAACTATATTGTAGGTTTGTTTACTGATAATATAGTTGACCTTATGGCAGCAAAATGTTATAAATGAAACTCAACAAAATGAGAAATATCCTTAAATAAGATATGACAATTGATTTTTCAGTTCAGAGGTAAGAAACGAAAAGAAGAAGTTGTAGACCTCGTTTATACAATTTTCTGAATAGACATTACAGAACATTAATAAACATTAAACTTAAGTTAATTTTCAATGCTTATCATGAGATGTAATAAACACGTATCTACATATTTAAGCACATATTTATCTGGCAAACGCACATATTATTAAGCCAATTGTAAAATTACTACACTAAAGTGCACTTTATCGTACCATCAAACACATTGTTTCTATTGATGTCCCTGGCTTTTCAACTTGTCAACAAAAACGATGAATGCAACCTCGGCCAATTCAGTATTCATTCAATATTTTATCCTTTGTATGCGAAAAACCTTGAGCAAAACAACATTTTTCAAATATTGTGGTTTTAGTAGATTATAGAAAGTACGCAACTCTGCAAAGTTTTGCGGAAAGTATATCGATGTAATCTACTCACGTGAATTGCCAGTACTTATGATCTTTAGATGAAAGATATACATGTTCGTTACTATAAGAAGTACCTCGAAAACTAACCATCCAAACGTCGTATCCCTTGTTCCCCAAAACATAAGCTAAACAGATATTAAAAATACTAAAATAGAAAGAGTGGTGAACTAATATAATAAACTTACAGAGAGAGTTGTTGCCGGAAAACATCCAACAAATAGGATTGGTTAGCGAGCCATGGCCCAGCACTATAGGAGTATTTTGGGTAATTTCATTGTATACTCTAAATACCGTAATAATATACCCGTCGTCCAACGTTAGAGAGTAATTTTCGGTCATAAATCCCCACGTTCTGGCTATTCCTGACTAAAATGTCGAATTATTTTTGAGCTTAACGATGTAATTTCTGATTAACCATGGTATACACTAATTTTTCGCCTTAAATGGTAAAAGTTTGCGATATATCATTTTTTGTAATAAATTTTGTAATATTTATTATTTTGTAATTGTATTTATTATTTTTGTAATATTTATTTCTCAAAAACAGAATTATAATAAATAACAATGAATATTTAAGTTTATTCGTATTCACGTATTTATTTCAACAATAACCATCCTGAATCTATATCCATTTTGAGGCCATTGAACACGAAAATCTGATTAATTAAAAATGAATTGAAATGAAGTTCAACCTAATATTTTACGATTAAAAAAATATTTTTGTTTTTATGAATGTGACTTTGATTCACTTTGAAATAAACGATTCAATTGTAAAACGGATATACGAAAAAAATATACCGGATGACCCATTTTACATGGAAAATTCAGTTATAATTGAAAATACAAATGTGCAGTTTTCATATTACCGCCATACTTTATTGAGACTTGAAAACTGATATAATCAGACACTTTTTATAAAACTTCTGGATTCCCCCTGCGTCGGTTTTTGTTGAGTCGAACTAGCTAACGTTTCGCCAATCATCCTGTTCGCTTCTTCAGAGCTTGACTGAAACTGTTTCAGCTCTGAAGAAGCGAACAGGCGTAAGAAATTTACAGGCTCAAAGTGGTTCGTGTTTTTCTGCTAGTCGTGATGGACTTGGTCAAAGAAGATTAACGAGAGGACAAAGAACTCGAGCAACATCTTGAGCGACAAAATGATGTTAAAGAACGATACAAAATTAATAAGGAGGCGAGAAAGTTAATTCATACAGGAGCTATTTCTAGACTCAACCAGATTGAGGGTCAATTTGCTTCGAATTTATTACCATCCCCCAGTGGAACGGTACATTACGCCTAATATTAATCTTAAAAGTTTAAATAAATTTATAAAATCTAGTGACTTTAAATTAGAGGATCATAAAACAGTTGCGCGCTTGATTATAAAAAATAGTTTTATGGTCAATGTGGATTTCATCAACACTACGTAGGATATTTGAGATTTCTGAAATCAACTGCGCTTCTAGAGTATTTTCCAAAATAATAAAGCCCATTGTCGCTTTTCTACAGAAGAGAGTTTTTTGTTTTCTAGTTTATTTAAACGGCACTTTTGTTAATAGGGTTTGTATACAATGATTTAGATTTGACAATGATATTATCAAAGGAGAAACGGAAAAAAAAGATTATTTTCTTGAAAATTCGAGAGAGACAAAACGCGTAAAATAAGGAATTTCGCAAAATTGTTGGACATACTACTTTCGACGCGTAAAGCTATAAGTATGGATATTTGCATACGAAATTTTTAGAGTGTGCAAAAAATTTCTGGTCAATTAATGACCGATATCTTTTGATGGCTGGTAAACATACCAAACGCTAAAAATTAATTAAGGCAAAACGAATATGTTATGGAAATATTTTCAGATGCATCAAATATGGACAAGGCATTTACTGTAGTAAGTGGTTTTTTAGTTCTTGGAGAATAAAAGTTGCCACATTAATTGTTTGGAACTACTTGCTGTTTCGGAATTTAATTTTTTGCTAAAAATGTTGTCGATTGCTCTATTTTATGTAGAATAGACAATACCACTGGTATTGTTTGTATAAATTGCATGGGGAGCAAAGTTAAAAAATCTCGCTAGTGCAATTTGGGAGTACGCAGAAAGATACATATATTTGAATCATATATTAAATCCGAAACCAACGTACAGGCGGATAAAGGATCACAAATACAAAAAAATATTTTTTTTTGTATTTTTTTTATCCTTTCGCTAGTCGCTCTAACAAATGTTTAAAAAAATATTTTTCGACAAGGCATCAGGCATTAAGTTATCAGTGAAATATGCATGGCTCCAACTTCAGAAACTACGTTGAAGCAATATAATTACTAATTGAAACTATGCTGGGAATATTTTTCCTTCAGAGATATTGACGGATTTATTGAAGTGTGGTGAATAATTTGGATTTTTTAACCTCGCAGTTTAATAATGAAGCTTCATATGGTTCCTTAAATTCATACCTCTATAACACAGATAGTTTAGCACAGAATTTTAAAATCCAACGATTTTTCAAAGTTTAATCTGGCCTGGTTTACTCAAATACGAAAATACTTGTGTGTAAATATTTAAAAATGCTGTGATTGGCCTTGAAGTGTCTATACAAAAATGTATAGTCCTATTGGCACTTGCAAAAACAACAAATAAACAACAAACGTTACATTGATAGAAATACGATTTATTCATAAAGTGTCCCCACAAATGTCAAGTCGATGAATTAAGATAATCTTGAGTAGCAGTGGTATTGCAAAAAAAAATTTATAAGCTATAGCGTGCGGTATCAAAGGGGTTAAATGTTAACCCTTTTAGGAAGGCTGCTGGTTGGTCCACTAAAGATATTTACTAGCGTATACAATTGACCATTGTCATTTATCTTAGGTTGATTTAAGAACGTTTATTTTCTTCTCATTTTTTTCTATTTTCTATTATTTTTAATCAACACAAAACTAATGTGTAAATAAATTTGTCTACTCCCGTCTGTAAAATACCTAATTACCCACCGATCTAGCGTGCGGGAAGCGTCACTTTACCACTTTACCACATCAGTTTCGTTTCCCACGAATCCGAGCCATTTCGGACATTTCCGGAATTTTACCGCACGGATTGGGAGCGATCGGATGTTTTCGGAGATATTTCCCACGCTTTGAATTTTGACGTTTGTCAATTCTGACAGTCATGTCAGTGAACGTATTCGTGTTTTGCGAAAATGTAGCCAAAAACTAACGGTCGTAGAAAAAGTATAGTACGCAACATGTTCGGTAAACTTTTTAACTTACTTGTTTATTAAACACTCGCTCCGCTCGTATCAAATAAACTCGTGAGTCAAATACCGTTTACCGCACTTGTTGCATAATATACTATTTTCTACCCTCGTCTGTAAAATGCTTAATTACACACCGATCTAACGTGCGGGAAGCGCCACTTCACCACTTCAGTTTTGTTTCCCACTGATCTGAGCCACTTCGGACATTTCGGGGATTTTACCACAGGGGTTTGGGATCAATCGGATGTTTTCGGAGATATTTCTCACGCCTTGAATTGTGACGTTTGTCAATTCTGACGGTCATGGCAGTGAATGTATTCGTGTTGTTTTGCGAAAATGTAGCCAAAAATTAACGGTCGTGGAAAAAATTTAGTATGCAACACGTTCGGTTGACTTTTTGTCACTCGTTTGTTAAGCACTCGCTCCGCTCGTGTCAAATAAACTCGTAAGTCAAAAGGCGTTTACCGCACTGGTTGCATAATATACTATTACTTAACCAATGAGGTAAATGTTAAATTAACCTTATTAACTTGTGACATTCAGCTTTTTATACTTTGAACCTAGCGATCAATAACGCCCTAAATAGAGGTATTACGTAACATCGAGGCCTTCATATAATCAAGATCGAACGTCACTTAGGTAAGTTCATTTGATCTTGTGATTATTTGATTAGCACCTTTTAGTTTGGCTTTAATTTTTATACAGCCTTGCGGTGGCCCAGGTTTCCGGAACAGGACGAAAATTGAAATTCACTTCACGGGAACTTTAAAGGATAATTATGGTATAGATATATCAGAAAAATATTCAAAAATGAAACTGCTTCTTCAGAGCTTAACGGAAACTGGCTCGCATTTTACTCTGTACCTGCTTATATATTGATTGAGGAGCAAAATGCAATGTAAATTTTGTAAAAAGTATTACATAGCATCTTATTTATTTCGACGAGGCATTCATATAATCAAGATCGAACATCACAGGTAAGTTCGTTTGATCTTTTGATTATACGATGCGCTGAAATGTAACTCAGTTCGGTACGTTTTACACAAGTCTTAACTAGATTGCTTGTAATCTGTAGTAATTTTACTTGGTGTTCCATGATGCCAAAAGAATTTACTTAAACTTTGCCATATTTGGAGAGAAGTTTTATTAACAGTGTACTTCCATTATTGAGTTTTTTTTATGTACATCATCAGTTTTTTCTTGGTGCCAAATAAATTTTCCGTTCTTGCATGAGGTTGTGCTTATCTATAAGTTTAAAAAGCTGTTCTTACTCTTCTGAATTTAGGTGTTCGTGACGAATTAAATTTTAAATATCAATTTTTACAAAAGTTTGTTTTTCTATTATTGGACTATTCGAAGGTGGTGTTTTTAAAATACGTATTTCAAAGTTGTTAAGTTCAAATGCATCTAAAGGTAAGTTATTGTTAACACTACCTTCTAGGTTACATATATCATTAATATAGGAATTATTTGTAATCTTTACAAGGGTTGGTTGTATTTCAACTTCATCATCGGGATAATAGGGCATTATCCTTGTCGTATTATTAAGTTCTAAGTGTTGCCTTTCGTATAGTTTTTGGGAGAATTTCTACTAAGTAATCGTCAAAATTTTGTCTATATTGAAAGGAAATTTCTATGTATTGGTCGTTTTAATTTGGTATTTTTTAAATCAAAATTTAAATTTAGATAAAATATTCATGGAAGGGGTATAAAATAATCTCAATTCGGTGATACCAAAATATGCAAATACTGGAAAGGTTACTTTATATGTAGCTTTCTTTGAACCTGCACATGTTTGTAGGGTATTCACGTAAGATTTAATTAATTCGGCTAGAGAAAGAAAAAGAGATGCACAGAGATGCAAACGGTATTTGATAATTAGGGTCTTCGATGAAGGATTTATTTGAAAACTATTTAAGGTTAAACAGGGTTTAATTCGTCCGAGGCTACCGGCTGAAAATGTTATAATTGATCGATTATATTATTTTCCTCTTCAAAATGTTCGACATTTTTATAGTTTGGGACATATTCGCTAAAGTTAGTTAAATTATTTTGGGGTTCATTAGTTTCGGGGTTAATGTCATTGTTTTTCAGATGCGTTAGTTCTTGGAATTTAATGTTTGGAAAATGGCTCTCTTTTGAGTTTTGGGGATTGTTTTGATTAAAGGTGTTGGGTTATTGAAATGGTTGCCTGAAAAAATGGTTTTATGACTTAAAGAATTGATTCTGAGGTTTAAAAAAATGATTTTGTGGTTTGAGAAATTCATTTTCATGCGTTTGATTAGGGGGTTTAAAATGGGTGTTTGACAGAATATGGTTTATTGGTTTCTGTATATTGTGCCGCATTACGTTATTGTTTTGTAGATAAAGTGGATAAAAATATTAATTGTTGCTGATGATTTGCACGAGTGAATAGTTCCCTGAATTTTTGGGTAAGGCTAATATTACCTCTGCCCAAGTTGTAAGGTATGGTTGAGTTAACATAAAATCTTCAGCTGTTGCTACTCTTTTTGATTTAATTCCCAAATTAATACATTCTTATTGCGATTTGTTTTATAAAAGACGGGATGTCCCATCAATAGTTTTTAATAAAGTAACGGTTGATCTCAAAGCGTCGGCCATTGTACTAATAGTTTCACTAAGCGGTATTTCCAAACATGTTTCCGAAGTAATCACAGGAATGGAGTCATTTTCGTCTATACAAAACAACAGAGAAATATATCGTCTATTTCGCAATGTCGCTGTTAATTATTTATTAAATTATTTCTTTTAGAATGAGTGATATCCGAGAACCTACTTCTAAATTTCTTCATCAAATGTTCATAAAATATTTAAAATTTTCACTTAGCTAACGCTAGTCACCACTATAAGGAATAATTCAGTAAACATTTACACTAAGTTCTTAGTCTCGTTCCTCGATCAACCAACACTGTTCGTCAGATAGATGTACTTCCCCGCTGTAGTAACCCTGGCTTAGACGAGTTCGTCCTGCTGACTCTCAAATGCCAGGAGTCCCAAGTGCTGTGCGTAGTAGGCTTTGAAATCTTTTTCTTAACCGTTGAATCAGATGCACTGGTAAATCACTATCTATTAGCGACGGCAATCCGATGAACTACTTGCGATGGTTTTTTCGAAAACACGGATCCTACCGACTGCGCCAATATCGTAAATGGCCACATAACTGTCCTACATAACATCCTTGTCATTATTATATTAAAATCTTCCTTTGAGTTACAATTTTTTTTAGGAAATAAATGAAGTTCTAAACAAATTGTATAATTTAAAAAAATCGTTCGCCAAAAAATATTATGGTTCGGCAACTATGTCCATGTAGCAAAATGTTATAATCAGATTAAATAGATTCTAAAATGAAACATATTTTCGGAAAGCGTTCGATTCTGCAGAGAAGTCACATCACAAGAATTCAATGTCGTCTCTTCGGTTATGTTTTTCAGGCAATTCAGGCATATTTTTTTATGAAAATCCTTACAATAAACATTTTAAATTTGTATTTTCGCTAGGATTGCTAAAGTATATCAAAAACCTTACCACATCCAGAACGTCGTAGTAGTTTCTCCAGCAATTCTTACTCCCTGGGATGTAAAAGTCACTGTACTTTTTACATACTTTTATCGAACCCTTCACCTGTACAACAGCCACAGCCAAAAACATGAAATACACGAGTTTCCAACGCATTTTTAAAGGTATTCACATAAGAAAAATGCGAAGTGCATAATATTAATTGAAATATATTTTAATTTCCTTATATACTCGTTAAAATAATTACGCCGGCATATGCTAATTAAAGTGACCATCTAATCACAGCGTGTTTGCTATTAATTACAATTTTAATTCATGACCCTAGAGCCACAAAATAGGTAATCATAAACAAGCCTTGAGATAATTTGGTTCAAACTGTCCAATACCGTGAATCTAATATTCATTTTGATATATTTATAAGAAAAATCGCTTCTTGGAAGCTCGTTACTCTACATATACCATGTTAGATATCTCCAAAACTTTACCGAGCTACGGCAACACCGCTTTCCCAGTCCAAAGTAATGATTAAATATCACCAAAACTGCCAAAGCCAAGACGGTAAAATTCAATAACAGGGGGTTTTTGAACATGCAAAATTCAAAAATGGTAACAGCCATGTTGTTAGATTTCGGAATGATATTTATAATTTATAGGATGCACTGATACCTATTATTGGGGCACCTGCCGGGGGTCGGCGGCCGACACGTGGCCCGGCGAAAGCTAGGCCCGGGAAAGGAGGGCCGTCCCGGGGGGGCTCTGAGAGGGGGGCTCGGTCCTATGCACAAGCGGCGGCGGGGGGGCCTGAACTGGTGGTGGGCCTCAGAGGACAGGAAACTGACCTGTCTTCCGAGGACCTGCTGCGGTTCATAGGGTCTCTTAACCTCCGCATAAGCATGTATATCATGCAGGGGGGGCAATACACTCCTCCCCGGATACGCTCGGTTAGGCTGTGGAGGAGCCACATCTTGATCGAGATGATGGATGAAGAAACCAGGGAGTGGGTTCGCAGGGAGCTGATTAACGTCAGGCCCTGGGGGCTCGCAAACCTGGTGGAGGTCGATCCGGAAGGATTGAGACTGAGAAGGGCGGCGATATGGATTCCGGGCCTGGGGGCGGGTGTCTCGAATGAGGCACTAGTCCGCTGCCTGGCAGCTCAGAATGGCCTAGATTGCCGTGCCTGGAGGGTTTGGCAGAGGACGGAGGATGTAAGGGGCACAAGGTTGGTGGTGGGCGTGGACGAGAAATCGGCAAGCGCCATCACGGCTAAGGGCTCACTTCTCTTCTGCCTGGCGACACAGGTAAAAGTGAACCTGGCGGCGCCGAGGCCGCAGGGGGATGAGGTGGCCGCGGGGGGCTCACGCGAGGAGGGCTCGTCCATGGAGGTTGGCGGGCCTGTCGGAGAGGCGGCGCCCACGGCTTCTGTGGAGGAGACCTCCGGAGGGCCCTCCGAGGAAGCGAGAACCGAGGAGGTATCTCAGATGGAAGTTGACCGGGGAATCCCATCAGGGTCCACCAGTCAGGAAGCGGAAGCGGAGGGAGGTGCTACCTCGGGCTCGGATTCGGGCTGAGGCTAGCATCGTGACCCGCAGGTGGTATTCCCGCAATAACATCTTCACGGGGATATTACAGATTAACCTGCAACACAGCAGGGCTGCAACGGCCCACTTATGCAGGAAAATTTCGGAGGGCGGTACATCTATTGTACTGATCCAAGAGCCCTGGATTGTAAAATCAAGGGTTAGGGGCTTATCTCTGGGAGGATCGATGCTGCATAGTGTCGACTCCTTAGAGGGCGGTCCCAGGGCCTGTATTCTAACCATGGGGCTGGAGGCCTTTTTCCTAAGGGATAAGGCGTCCAGGGACCTGGTTCCAATTCTGGTCAGATCCCCCACTCGGGACGGCGTGAGGGAGGTAGTGGTCGCCTCTGCGTACTTTCCAGGCGACCGCAGCTGTCCTCCGCAGGAGATCAGTGACTTGGTCTCCTACTGCGAGGAGGCGAATCTTCCTCTTTTGATTGGCTGCGACAGCAATGCTCACCACGTTTTGTGGGGCAGCGCGGCAACGAATAGAAGGGGGGGAGACCTCGTGGAGTTCATGGCCTCTGCAGGGCTGCAGGTGGCCAACAGAGGGGTAGAACCCACGTTTTTCACGACGGGTCGGAGCTCGGTCATAGATTTAACACTTTGAACCAGGGCTCTGCTCCCGGAAATAACTGGGTGGTGTGTCTGTGGGGAAGACTCTATGTCGGACCATAGATATATCACCTTTGGGTTGGAGATGGGTGCTCGGGAACCCGTTAGATTTAGGAACCCCCGGGCAACAAACTGGGAACTCTATAGAGAGGAACTTGCTTGGCGCCTAGGGGGCTTACCAAGGAAACACCGCACAATGGAGGAGATTGACGAGGCCGCCGACCGAGTCAGCTCCGCTATGATGCGGGCGTTCGAGAATAGTTGCCCTGAGACAGAGGAGCATAGGGCGGGAAGGACTCCTTGGTGGAGCTCTTCCCTGGAGCGTCTCAGGAGGAAAGTGCGGAGGCTGTTCAATACAGCGAGGAGCAGCAGCCAAGGTGCGGACTGGGATCTCTATAGGGAGGTCCGCAGACAGTACAAAAAAGAACTACGGGCATCACAGAGGAGGGCCTGGAGGGGCTACTGCGACGGAGTAATGAATACCCCGGACGCGGCTAGGCTCCTTAGGGTACTCAGAAGTGACCCTGCGGGAAGACTGGGGGTGGCTACACAGCGGGACCAGCGGACACACTACAACAGTTGCTGAACACGCACTTCCCAGGGTCCGCTGATCCGGACACAGGGGGGAATATTGAAGCCGGGGGTCGTCTTGGAGGCGACTACGCCACGGCAAGGAGGGTGGTTACCCATAGTAGGCTGAGGTGGGCTATTGACAGCTTTGGCCCCTTCAAGTCGGCGGGCGGGGATGGAGTATTTCCGGCTCTGCTGCAAAGGGACGGAGGTCTCCTGACCAGCCCGCTGATGGACCTGTTCAGGGCCTCCATTGCGAGGGGGTACGTGCCCGAGCTGTGGAGACACAGCAGGGTAGTGTTCATTCCCAAGGTAGGGAAGAGTGACTACACAGACCCGAAGTCGTACCGGCCTGTTTGCCTCACCAGCTTCATTATGAAGACTCTGGAGAGGCTGGTGGACCGGTATCTGAGGGACTGGGTGGAGCTGGAGGCCCCTTTAGAGCCAGCTCAGCATGCGTACCGAAGTGGCGGGTCTGTGGGCTCAGCTCTTCACCATCTGACTTCCAGGTTGGAGGAGGGTATGGGCTCGGGACGGCTGTCGGTGTGCGTGTTCGCTGACATCGAAGGGGCTGTACTCGATCTGCAGGGCGGTGGAGAGTACTGGAGTGGGGACGGCCATTGTAAGGTGGATCCGCTTCATGCTATCCGACAGGAGGGTCGAGGCAAGACTGGGTGGGGAGCAGGTCTCCATCAGTTCATCACGGGGTTGTCCACAGGGCGGGGTCTTGTCCCCGTTCCTGTGGTGCCTGGTGGTGAACGAGATATTGCATATTCTGAGGGAAGAACACGGGGTCTATGCTCAGGCATATGCAGATGACCTTGTGATAATGACGCAGGGGACGGACGTGAGGAGGATGCAGGGGCTCCTGAACGGGGCATTGGCAAGATTTTCACAATGGTGCCTGGACAGCAAGTTGGCTGTCAATCCTAGCAAGGTGGAGATGGTCATCTTCACTAGGAAAAGGAAGATGGAGTGCAACCTCAACATTTCGATGGATGGGGTGCCTCTTTCTGCAAGCGGAAGTGTCAAGTACTTGGGGGTATGGTTGGACTCTAAGTTGACCTTCCAGGAACATATAAGATCAAGGACCAGGTCGGCCTTTGGAGCTCTGTGGGCGTGCCGGAGAGCGGTAGGGGGCACTTGGGGCCTGGGGCCGAAGATCATGCAGTGGATCTACGGTACCATGGTGGTGCCTATGCTCACGCATGGGGCAGTGGCATGGTGGCCGGGGACCAAAAGAGCGGGAGCAAGGCTAGTTCTTGACAGACTGCAGAGATTGGCTTGCCTCTGCATAACGGGCGCCATGAGAACGGCGCCCACGAGGGCCCTGGAGGCTCTGGTGGGGCTGCCCTCTCTGGCGGATCGGGTGCAGATGGAGGCGGCCAGGACAGCTGTGAGGCTGGCGAGCTGCGGGCTCTGGAGGGAGGGAACCTTCAATCGGGGTCCGTACGACATTTTAGAGGGCTGTCGCGGGGATCGCGGGGTCATGGGCATGCCGAGTGACGTCATGATCCCCGAGATGACCTTCTTTGATAAATTGACCTTTCTCTTTCCATCAAGGGAAGATTGGAGAGAGGGCAGAGTCGGCTCCTGGGATGGACTTGTCTGGTACACGGACGGGTCCAGAATGGGAGATCTGGCCGGAGCTGGAGCGTACTGCGAGACAACGGGATCAAGCTTGTCGGTCCCTCTGGGTCAGTACTGCACTGTGTTTCAGGCGGAAATTTTCGCTTTATTGATGGCGGCCAGAGAGGTGCTTCGGCTCAACTACGGAAGCAGGAGAGTCTTCTTCTGCTCGGATAGTAGGGCTGCACTCATGGCGCTGAAGTCAGTGCGTACGCGCTCCTTGTTGATAAAGGAGTGCAAAGGGGTACTGAGGAGGGTGGCTGAGGAGAGAAAGGTCACGTTGGTCTGGGTTCCGGGTCACACCGGTGTCCGGGGCAATGAGGCAGCGGACGCCTTAGCCAGGGAGGGCTCCTCGCATAGGCATATAGGGCCAGAGCCCCGCTTGGGGATCGCCCCGTATGTGAGGCGGGGAGCTCTCGAAGCCTGGGCGAGAGACCGGGCCGCGGAGGGCTGGAGAATTGCTCCGGGAATGAGGCAGGCGAGGCTTATGATGGATGGGCCCGCCCTTCCTCGGACCAGGGAGCTGCTTAGACTGACCAGGAGGGAGTGTAGAGCACTAACAGGGGCCTACACAGGACATTGCAGGCTTAGGAGGCATCTCTGCTTGCTAGGCATTGGAGACGACCCGGAATGTAGGTGGTGCATGGAAGGGGAGGAGACCCCGTATCATCTGCTCACCGAGTGCCCTGCCTTGACATGGGCAAGATTGGGAGTCTTCGGAACGGCCCTGATC